CTCGATCGTCATCTCTACTAGCCCGGTTTGTTGTTGTCTCGTGTGGTTTGAGTCTCATCTCGTCTCGTCCATTTATTTAGTCACCTCGTCTCGCTTTTCATTCGTATCGTCTTGTAGATCTCCTGTAACATGATTTCTACGTCGAAGAACCAAAAATTAAAAAAAAACTCGAAGCAGTCTGAACAGTGGTCTGGGGCAATTCGAATGGCCGGTGCACCGCCAAAGCCCCTGACAAGCTGGATTGATCAGTGCACTGCCCGTTTATTTGCTATTTCTTTTCTTGCTCATTTTTTTTACTCTTCTAACGTTGAATTTCATAAGCTTGAATTCATATTCGAAGACGAACAAAAATATGAATAAACATTTTAGACGAACACAAACATGAACATCTCAATGTCCATTTTAATCCCTACTGTAGTGACTAGTGTAGAGCTACGAGCACCTTTGATATGGATAGTTAGAGCCCCATGTTATTCCATTTACATTCAAATTTCAAGATATATGTTTAGGGTGTCGTTACAACAACAAAAAATTCTTTGCAACCTCAAAATATGTTAAAAGTATGGGGAAAATGCTTCCAGCCCCCAAAACCAAAAAAAACGTGCTCCCCCCAAGACTTTTTCAAAGGGTGTTTTGCCTCCAAAAATAAATTTTTTGTTCTCTGAGCCCCAAAACACAAAACCCAAGAGATTAAAATATGTGAAGACCATAATACCATTCTCTCTCTCTCTTTATCATGATGTTACCGTGTTGATAGTTAAAATGATTGATGGGGATTATTATTTTATTTTTTATTATTTTCATTGTTAATGAGGGGAGTTAAGTGTTTTTTTTTTGTATTGGGAGATTGTTAAGGTTACGGGTTAATTGTTATAGTTACGGGTCAGTTGTTAAGGTTATGGATCGGTTGTTAAGGTTACGGGTCAGTTGTTAAGATTACGGGTTGGTTGTGAAAGTTACACGTTGGGATATATATATATATATATATATATATATAAAAAGGTTAGGGGTTCAAACCCCTACAACAACAATATATATTTAAGGATCTTTGATTGGGCTCTTTGTATTCTAAAAATATTTTTAGAATATTCGTTGTTAAGGATAATGGTTGGTTATGAAGGTTATGCATTGGTTGTGGAGGTTCGGGTTGGTTGTTAAGGTTATGGGTTTGTTGTTTTAATCTCTTGTGTTTTGTGTTTTGGGGGATCAGAGAACAAAAAATTTATTTTTAGGAGCAAAACACTCGTTGAAAAAGTCTTGCGGGGAAAGCACGTTTTTTTAAGTTTTGGGGGCTGGAAACATTTTCCCCTAAAAGTATGTAGGAGACATATATCTACAGTGACAGTGTTCCTAAAGCAGACAGTTGAAACTACAGATATTTGTTGTTGCAACGACTCCTAACTAAATTCACTTGTCGTATGTTTGTTGTACACACTAGGCGGTTTCCTCATATGATCGATAGGGTAGCCATCTGTGCTTCCTAAGATTAGAAATGAATCTAGACTTCCGTTTATATTCTAGATAGTGATAGCTTCCTTCATGGAATCTCTTTAGTAGATAGAATCTTCATCGTATGCTTTATTCTCACAAACATAGGTTGTGGCCTCTCTTTATGCTTGTGAATGGCTCTAGGTTCTCAACTCTTTACGGCTGCCAAAGCAGAACACTTGTCTCGAATCAGAACAGTGAACTAGTCAAACATTCTTTTTGTTTCATTTTAAAGGCCAAGTTCGATCAATGGCAAATAACTGGTCACATAGCTCTAGCTGTCTTTTCTACTATACGTATTGGAATAATAATATGCCTAGTTGGTACCACATATATTTGAGTTTTCCATGCCCAAATTGGAAAGAGAATCTCATTGTTGAGTCACTAATTGGCGCCTTTGCATCGTTCCCAATGTTAAAGTGAAAGTCTTGAATGTTTATCCTTCAGCCTTAGTGTATAACCATTGGAAAGGAATCAAGGATCATATAATGATAATGATTAAAAACCCTTGTTCTTTATCTAGAGGAGTATATTTGAGATTTTTTTCGGCGCAGATTTCTCGCGTTAAGGCATCATGTGATGCTTTATACCGATACGCCCTTGCACAGAACAGATAATGGTGAGTTAGGTTGACGTTTCATATGCGTATTGTGAGTACCGAAGGAAAGCTTTCTCGGCGCTTTGGTTGTTGGAAGATGCTAACTCGGCAGTCGGCAGAGAATGCTAGGTGGACTATAAAAGTCATACTTGTCAGTGTTATTAACACAAGCACCCTTGGACTACTACACATACAAAAAAGTGTGATATTTTCTTGAAGATTGCCAAGAAGAATTATGAATTTTTAGACACAAATGAGCGGGGTCCGTAGGAATTCATCATAATTTCTTGTTGCAATTCACGAGTTGTCTCACTTTTTTACGTGTATTAGTAAAAGAGTAGTATATATAACTCTTGTGTACAGTTATCACTATTGCTAAGTGCACTTAAAAAGTTATACTACTTGTGTACTCACTATAATAAAAATTATAAATTATGATATATATTTTCGTCTCCACGTGATACATTATTGTATCGCACAAATAGAGCACGACACATATCAAAAGTGTGGTTAGGGCATGTGTGAAGAGAGTTTTTCTACACATGCGCAAATGTGTCGCAAAACTCACGACACATATATGTGTCGAAAGTGGTGACAAATACATGTATCACAAAACTCTTAACACATACATGTATCAAGAGTGGTGACACATAATTGTGTTTAGACCATGAAAATATAAAAAATATAATTATTTAACACTACAACTTTCCAAAAAGTCACCCATCTTAGGATTAATCTCATCAACGCACACTTAACAATAGAGTTTTTAGCTTATACACTAATCATAAGGATCTAATCATCATCATAATTAACATCTAAGATTTATTATTTAAGAGCATCAATATATCCTCTCACAATCCATGTTGACCTATTAGCCTTTTTCGCTTATATTTAATTGTATCTCTAATGACACAAATATGTATCGTAATTTGCACACTTTTTATTTGTGTCACTATTTTTTAATTCTTTGTAAATAAAATGACGCTTTTATATGTATCATAAAATAAGTGTGGACATATACAACTTTTGTTGTAGTGACTATAAGATAAAAAAATATAGGGTCTGTACATACTTATAATTTTATGTGCAATAATCAAGGATTTCACATTATTGTATCTTGTAGTATAATAGTAATATAACCCTCGTAGTCTAGTTATTGCAATATCATGGTTTTGATAGTTATATATTGCTTTCACTCCAATAAAGTTACATTATAAATTAGAAATATTATTAGAATAATAATTAAAAACTAGTTCATTTAGAACTCGTTGCAATCAATAAGGTGTGGAAAATAACCAATAATGCAATGAAAGACAACTACTTCATTAGTTCAGTATAAATAATATAGATAGATTTCTTTTTTTCATTCCTTGTTATGCGGAAGTTTAATAGTCGGAGCAACAGGATGTATAGGATGTTACTTGTAGGAATCCAATATTTCCAAAAATGTTAAGTTAGTTTTTCTATCAAAACAGAAATCCGTGTAGAACCTATAAGAGCTTGTTTTGCAACTCATTCACTAACTTAGATAACAATATCAACTTAAAATGTATTTGGCAATAACTTTTAGTTTAATGTTTGGCAAAATCTTGTACAAGATTGGACAGTTTTTTTTTCAGTTCATAAAAGACATCCTTATATAGGTTATCTTTGGACCACTCCTATCTTGGTTCAATCCTATCATGGTTAAGACCTTAATAAGGTTAGTGTGAAGTTGCCAAACATGCCCATGTTATTCATTCCGGATTGTTGATTTGGACTCAGACAATTGTCCATGAATCTGAAATTCGTGATCTAGGATCTGGACTCAGATTTTATGGTCAGAGCTCCAAACTCTTTGATTGAAATTTGATTTTGTGAATAGAATATATTTTTGAATTTTGATCAGCTACGATTCTTGAACTTTTACTTTGGATTCGTAAACTAAGTGTTAGATTCTCTGACTAAATTTTAGGTTCGTGGATTATTTGCATTAGGAGTTTCAAGTTAAATTATTATGTTAAATAATAATTATTAATTAAAAAAGAAAATTAATTTGAAAAGCCACCTTCATTTCAAACAGATAGCAACAATAAAATCGAATACATCTTATATTCTGTTTAAACTAGTGCTCAATCATATAAAAACTAATTTATATATTTAAACATGTAAATATTAAATATATTAGAAAGTTTTATATCAAACATTTGAAATCAAATCTTTGAAATTTTTAATATTAAATTTTTTATTATTTAATAAATTAAACCTTTACGTATTATATATATTTAATATTTATTTATTTAATATATTTCTTATATAACATTTAAATATAAATGAAATGTATGTAATATAATATTAAATAATTAAAATATTTATATATTTAATAGATGTTAAATAATAAACATATCTAATTTACTAGTAAATATTAAATTTATTAAGTGATTAAATAGTATCAAATATATTTCATTTTAAATGAATTCAATAAATTTACAGAAGTTGATTACAGGTATTTTAAAATTAAATACATTTAATGTTAATATATAAATAATTTAGAAATATGGAATAGTTTTAAATTAAATACATTTATTTTGAAATATACTAAATAATTAAATAAGTAAACATAAGAGGAGAGAGAAAATCCATAGAGTAAGATCACAATCTACAAATTTTAACTTGGATTTTCTATTGAAAAAAAATCTCATTAAAAACCATAGAGTTGAAATGGTGTGAGGATTTTAAAATACAGTCCTAATAACAATCTCAGATAACCAATTTCAAATTCGAATCCAAATTCTAATCCTTAACCAATAACACGTTAAATTCAGATACAAGTCCTAAACCTAAACCTAAACTCCTAATACCTTAAATTCAAGTACGAATGCTGGTCCTAAATCAATAACACCTTAATTTGACTCCAAATTATAAACCGAAATGATTACTACCAAATGAATTCTTATTAACACTTTGGTTGTGTGTTTTGAAATAAGGTAAGAAATATACTTCAACGCCAATCCATTACCCACCTTTTCCTCTCATACGGATTTTTTTCGTTTTTTTCTATCCCATATTCATAAAATATGTTCCCTTTTTGAGTCCGAATATAGACTATTGATTGGAAGTTAGTGCTGGAGATTATAGATATTGTTCTAATAGTTTTAAGAACATAGCGTTTCAGTTAGTTACTACTGATATCAAGGCCAACTTATTTAGTACCTCGGTAAAATCTCCAACTTCACAATAATCAACAACCCACATTCATTGTAATCTATATATAAATCGCTGCCGACTGGATTCACCCTAGGTTTCAGAATGCTTCAATCAATGAGTATTGTATTTGTGGTGAATTTGATAACGCACGAGACCTGTTTGATTTTATGCTTGTTAGAGATGTGGTCTCTCGAACTGCTTTGATTTCGGGGTTTGTTCAAATTGGGTTACTGGTGGAGCTGCATATTGTAATGATATTACATGTTTCGATCTTGAAGAGATTGCTCTAAACCTCACTAGAATGCTGAACTCTTGCAGTAAAGGATGCTCAACTTTTTAGTACGAGGATTGGCCTTCGTAAACAGGAACAAAAAACATCTGATCACAGGTTAGCTTTTATTATTTGGATATATTTTCTCCAAGCCTATGCTCCTCTAGCGCACCAATTGCGTAATTATTCTTCAATTTTATATGTGAGCTCTGAAGTTGAAGATTAGTAACTATGTTACAGAGCGCACAACTTGTAGTCTTATTATGCACTTTCTTCTCTTTTAAATGATAAATAATTGTGTTTTCTGTTATATTACTTACCCCTCATGACAATGGAATTGAGTTCAGAGCCATGATTTTATTGGAAACTATGTTTGCGGTATGTGCTTTGTCATAGTGAACTAAGCTTGGACTCGCACAATGCTAAATGTACTTTGCTTTTAGAAACTGCAATGACACAACTATTACTGCATTACATTCCCTTAACTGCCTAAAATATTTGAGGGAAAATATACATGATTTTAGGCACATGCATTAAAGAAGAAAAAGGAAAAGAAAAGGCAAACTTCTGCAAGTAGTGAAGCCCGGTCCATAAGGAGGAAGAAAGCATCATGGGTCTTATCGAGCCTGCCCTTTTTTGACACTGAATCTAAATAGATGATAACCTTATTATTAACTTAAAACTTTATATCATATCATCAGAGCCAGCCGCTTCCTGGTCGGTACCTTTCATCCATGAAAAGTGGATAATCAGTTTTCTCAAAAGCAATCAATGCATTTCGATATTATAGCAAAGTTTAAGCATCATGCTGGAGACAAAATATTTCAATGCCACTTCTTAGTCATGCAAATGAAAGCCATCGAGGGAGTATATGCTTGTTATTCTCAGATGATCGGTATAGTTTTGAAGATTTTGACCTCAAATTAAGGATATAGGAGAAGTTTGATTTGGCCCTTAGGTTTGGGACAATTAATAGAGCTCAACAGCCTTTATTCTAGAATTGAAGAATGCATCTAGAAAGGAATTTTTACTTTTTTGACTTCAATTTGGCCTTTGCTGACAAAGAGATTGACTGCTTGCCTAATCATGCTGCGAAATATGTCTTCTCAATATATTGTCGATATATAATACCATGAGCCTATACTTTCAGTTCTGAATGTTGGTGGTTAATCTGATTTTGTTATTTTGATGGGTTAATAGCCGATAGACCCCCTTACTATTGCCCAATTGCAGATAGACCCCCATTCTACTTCCTTTGTGGCAGAAAGACCCCCAAGTGAATTCTTTTTAACTCTTTTACCCTCAGAGAAAGAGAATTTTGTTTTCTGACAAATAGACATCTTGAAAGTAAAGAGCGGAAGAAAAAAAATTCACTCAGGGGCTCTGTCCGCAATTGGGTGATAGTACAAGGGGTCTATTCGCAACTATGGAACTACAGGGTGTCTACCTGCAATTGATGAGGGTGTCTACCTGCAATTGATGATAGTACAGGGGATCAATCCGCAATTAGCTCTATTTTTATTTTTGTTAAGGTTTTTACCTTCTACCACCACAACCATTCTCTCTCTGGCAATTGAAGTATATGGCAGCAACAGGCGGTCCAAGGTTGTAAAGTGCAGAAAAGTCCCTGGTATTGAAGTTTTGACGCCATCCAGGTGCGTATATAGTCTGTCGAACACTCTGCCTGAAGAGCACAAACACAAATCGATGAATCCCTGCTGTTGGCTGTGGACTTTCATAGGACACAATCTCATTTCCTAAAACAAAATGATCAAGTTTCAGTTTCAGATTTATATTTATTAATTAAGGTACACAAATTTTGTGCTATTATGACTTACCGAAACTCGTATTAGTTGTTTCTGGGATGTCTGTCACCAACCTACAAAGAATCATTTTAAGATTAGTTCTCTATGCTTCCTGGCATGATGTACCTACCTGGTTTATAAATGATCATAGTAGAAAGATTTCGGATGTGTAATTTCCCATAAAGTTTCATAGTCTAACTAACAGAAACTTGATTTTTTGAGGATTTTTACACGTCCAATATCCATAAAAAGAATTTGTAGAAACATCAAACTATAGAGAATGTGGATGGGTCAGTTAGAATATCATGTAGACTGACATTTTTCTGGTTTCAGTGGGTTAATCTACCTCCTCTTTCATCTCTTTGAGGATGACCCATCACCTTGTAACTTAAGAAGATACCAAAAACAATTATGTGTTACCTTTGTTAAGGAAACAGCATAAGTAAATTCAACTGATAAGAATATCAGGGTCTTGTGATGTCATGTTCAATGTTTCGCCTGTCTAACCTTTTGTTGAGGGGGTTAGATGATCTAGACAATTAATTATCCTTTAAGATTGGACAAACCTAAGTACCTAGTGTAAAAGTACAATTCTCTTTTTAACTTATTCTTACTAATATTGTCTGTTATGGAACCATATGCTCATGTGCGGAATCTTTGTTGATTTGATAAAAGATATCAAGTGCATCAGATGGACAATAAGATGGGTGGAATCAGGGTGTTCGTTGATGCTGAGATACAAAGAGGTAACTCCAATATGTATCCTTTTTTTGGCCGGACATTTAAGTAACTAGGCTCAATGTCTTTTTCCAAAGATTTAGAACTTATCAAAGAAACTCAAAAGTTAATATTTTAGTTTTTTCGGACTCCCAAAAATGCACAGTTCTTATATGCTAATCCTGATAAATAAGCTATGTACATTTCATGCATCATCATCATAAATGACAAACAGAGTTAGGACTGACCAGTGCAAGTGCTCTCTTTTGGTCGGATTGCTTGGACTAGGCGCATCAGGATCTACCATCACCTTTTGAAAAAGAAAATTACCGGATAAACAATGGTTAAAATTTTGAAGACATCAACAGAAAGAAAAATAGTCAATAAGCTTATCATCTTATTCAATTCAATAATTATCGGACACAAAATTGACATTTCCCTTTTTTATGAATGTCGACCTTACTAATGCCTCATCATTGTCACATTTATTTAATATATGCAGCGCCAACATGATGTACACATAAGAAGTTTTTTCAAACTATTGGTAACTTCAATTTAGTGTTGTTATATACTTGCATAACACATGGTCAAACTTGTTACTTATCCTTCCTTTAGTTATGTAAGTATGGACTTACTGATGCCTTGTCATCACTTCTAATTTATAAGGTCCTCAGTTTTTAAAAGCATTGTACGAAGTAAATGTTTTTTTAATCATATTATCTAGATTCTCCACCTGATTGTTGTTTCAGATTATCCACATGAATATATACTTTGAATGAAGACACTTTTTGGATTCCTAATCCAGTGGAAAGGATTTATAATGGTTTGACGAACATTAGACTCTAAGGCCTATGTTTGATGTCTCTTGATTGGAGAAAGAATTTTGGAAAAAGATCAGTAAGATGTAGCCTTTTGTAGTGCATCAAGTGGATTTGTTAGATTCCTCTCCCATCACTGCCTTTTCCTCGTGTGCAAGTCAAAATCAAGAGTCACATCTTTGTAGTTTGATCCTTATGATTTATTCCTTATTGAAAAAATACACATTCTGCTCCCTTGACTGGCACAGAAATTCTTTGCAGTGAGTATATTGTGGTGGCAAAACTGACATTTTCTAGGAGAAGATTCCTCTACTCTTACTATAGCCAAGATAAATTTGTGAACAATTCAGTGCCATTTTTCTATTGCGAGGCAGTATTTCTTTGATATATAAGTTAGAAAGTCATAACTTCAATGTGACAATGTCTTATATATAGCAATGTCCATATGTGTATATATATTTCATATGACATTACCAACCTATTAAACATGATTTTGTTTCATATGTCTATTTTAGCCCATGTTCTTTACTACATTTCATGCTCAATTACTGTTACCACTCTAGCCCTCTTTTCAGAACAATAAGATCAGATATAGCAAATTCTATAACGAACTAACGTATAAGATTACTTCCCAAGTGCAAATTTCATCAATATGTAAAGTGCACTAATGATATTTGATATCTACTAAATAACATGATCAAAACTATTAAACTATCGTTACTCTAACTAAGAACAAGATATAACTTACAAGGGTGTAAAGTGTTCTCATGTCACGCCCTCCAAAATCCACCCTCGGCTCATTCACGACCATTGATGGCTTGAGCTCAGAACCATTCGTAACTTCCTTGTTGTTGTATATTACCCGTAGTGACGCAGACTTGAGAAACGGATCCAAGACATCGCCAACAACATTTCCCACAACAAGAGGATCCCTTGACATCTTTAGTGATACTAACAGTTAACCAACTTTGAAGCTCAATCGATGGAAAATGGGAGAGAATTGAGCTGCTATATATAGTGGTGGAGTATGAAGGTCTGGAAAACTTGGAATCTACTTTTAGACGAGAGAGAATGATAAGCGTGACCATCAAAGGAAGTGTAATTGAACCTCTCCACCCTTTGAGTCCCCACAAAAGGCAGTGGATTTCATGCCACAGAGTTAGTGAATATAATCTTAGGTACAGGCCTCGCCTCAATCTTATTATTCTCTTGAAATCTTGTAGGATATGGTGGAAAGTGAGAAGCCTTTTGACCTGCCAGTCTTTCGAGCTTAGTACGGGGATGTCTCTCCGTTTTTCGCGTTGCTGAGAGAATCATGCAGTGGAGTAGGAGATTTTATTTGCTTACGTGGAGGCGATACAGCAAGCAATCACTCTTTAAGAGAGAAGATTCTTGACTTGGTTTGGCCATGACATCAGAGCCATGATATAATTGAAGAAGCATAATAGAGAGAGTGAATATTGTTTTATTTTTGTGAGCACCACAAGGAATCAGGTACCTATGACTAGTATTGGGTTATCACCCTAAGTAGTAGGGGAATGTATGCGAATGTCTAACATAACAAAGCACACCATTATGAAGGAAAGAATAAGATTTAAGCTAATCTAAGTGGTGAATTGAACATTATGGTCTCGTTTATTTTCGTGGAACATAACTCTTGAAGTGGAGATGATGGTTTTCAGCAAGATTTTAATGGTGTTAATGAAATAAAATTGGACAAATCCGCAACATTCCTCCAAGAATTTCCTTCAATTCCCTCCGATATGCTCATGGTTTCAGTATCATGAACAATTGAGCTTATATTACTAGTTCAAAGTTCAGGAGAAAAAATAAAAGCTATAACTTTTAGAGTTGGCAACAAGAATTAGCAAAGCAAGCTCCTGAGTGTTTAATCTCAATCTGATGTATCTTGTTCATGATAACTCTTATCGACAATTGTCTTGATATATTCGAGATTATTTTTGTTATATGTAACTTAATCGTCCTTGTTATTTCAGGTCCGCACTCTTCTAACCATTCAGTTTCAGGCAACTGGGTCGTCTTAAGTCTTGGTTTAGATATTTCCAATGGATAGTTCTCCATTATTATATCATCACTGAATAATGCTATATCCTAAATTAATTATCCTACTTTTTTTTTTCATTGCGTTAATGTAGTTATATCATTTTATCCTGATTGTACCTGCATACATATTTGATCACATATAGCCTAGAAAGGATCTATCTATTTTATTTTTCCTAGTCATAATTCCATTTGATATATTATCTATATGATGATCCTTGATATATTAGTAGGGCTATTATATCTAATCAAATTATGTAGGTTGAACCAAGGCTGATGCTCCAAAAGGAGTCCTCAACTGGAGAAGAATGAAAATTATTTCTATTTAAAAATTCTAAAATTGTTCTCAAATTAATTATGATAAAAATATGGCCTCAAATTTCTTATAAAAGCAGCTAAACATGAGAAAACCAAAACGAGATATGGTATCTTACATCTATATGATCTTTCGGTGCCCACTTGCGTTGCTGCAGTGCATGACTTAACAATATTTTCTGCTCATAAATCTTGCCACTCGACTCATTTCTATCACATGTTGAAATTCTTGAGGGTTGAAGCTTCTAATTGTCACGCATCTTCTCTTGGCTTTTTCTATTATCCACCATCACAATAGACATCTGGTGTCATAGTCAGCTATGTGATAGGTTTGTAAGTAACAGTAGGCGCGATACAATTAGAGTTCATATTTTTGTCTCAGTTCGAGTGACCGATGGATTTTATTTGATTCCATATCTAAAATGTTACATTATACATATCTCTGTCACCTCTAAAGGTGTTAGATTCCTTTCTTCTTCAGTTGTTATGAAATTGTCAAAGAAAAGAGATTAAAACACAGTAGAGACTGATCTAAATAGTCTATAATGTAGCTTCTAGAAATATTCCAGGAAAGTTATGATGAGATTCTAAAATTAAAAAGGACCTCATTATAGAAAGAATGCACCAACTATAATTATATATACTGACTGCTTGTTGAGCTTCACAAATTACCAACTGGACTATCAAACAATTATTACTTTTAGAAAAAAGAAGTAAAAGGTGAGCATGCATGCAACTGGACACAAATTTTTGTTGTACACAGTGAAAAGTTTGTTACAAAGACACAAATGAGTAAAGGAATGAGAATTTATATTGGGCACATACCATCATTATATTATAATTTTGTGCATTTTAGAATAAAGGTTAAGATGATATGGACATTTTCAAATTGGCAATTGACAGCTAAAGGCATTAGAAGGTAATGAGGGTTGTTAAGTTATTCGACGGTTTTGATTTTATATTTTCTTCAATTGGTCTAACATTTATGGGTTAGGTGGAATTTTATTGATGGTTAAGTTTTTCACCCTTTTTGTTTGTTCTTCAGATGAATTGAGTCTAATGTGGGCCGTTTTGGTCAATATATCAAGATGCAAAATGAGTAAAGGAATTAGCATATATCATAATTATAATAATGTGTGCATTTTATTTAAAGGTTAACATGATATGGACATTTCCAATTGGACATTGACAACTAGAGCCATTTGAAGGTAAGTGAAGGTGCTTAAGTTATTCAATGATTTTAGTTTTCTACTAAGTTGCATAGGTACAGAGACGGGTATTGCTACAGGTAAGGGACATGAAAAATTTGTAAAAGGTAGGGTACAGGGATACGACTATTAATATATATATATATTATATTATATATATATATATATATATATATATATATATAGTTATATATATATATACTATATATTATATATTATATTGGGAAAAATAGTGAATCTAGGTGACACCCTAGGCTCCCACCTGAAGGGCGCGGCCTAAAATCACATCATTCCCTAATTTTTTTTCGATCCGCTCCGTTGAACTTGATTTAACACGTCTTAAACCTTTAAACACCCAATTTCTTAGTGAATGAACCGTCGTGTATTTGACCCTTTCATTCATCGCGCGCAATTTTAACGATTTGATGAATAGAACTTTTTGGGACGACTCAACGAAGATGGTCAAACCGACGGGGTTCATTCAAAAATTGTGATGGTTTTGAGTTTAAGACGTATAGATTTAAGTTCAAATGGAGCCGGATCGCTTTAAAAATTTAAGGAAATTGATTGTGATTTTAGGCCGTCCTACTTAGGTGGGGGGAGCTTAGGTGGGTCACCTTGATTCACCTTTTCCCTAGATATATATTATATATATATGATACTATATTACTATAACTATATATATATATATATATGCTCCCTTTAAAGAACAAGGTCGGAAAAATCTTTCTATAGTCAATATTACCTTTCATTATTTTGAATATTTTATTTATATCTTAACCATAATTATACCCTATCCTAATCCTACGTGAACTATCTATAACTTAATAATTTAAAAAATAATATTAATAAAATATATAAAACATCTTTATAGTATTAATTTGTTAAGATAAAGAAATTATACGTAGCTATCGTACTATAATACATAAAGTATTACAAAAAACCTAAAAATTTTTAAAATTGCACAAATTACCCTGAAAAGATCAAAATTATAAAAATCATCTTGATGTCTCAAAACTTAAAATAACAAACATGAAATTAAGAAATTAAGAGATATTTGTGAAGAATTTAAAATTTGCGGTCAACACCTCAATGTCTTAAAAATTAGAGAAACACCTTAAAAGTTCAAATTACAAACAAACAACTAAAATTCTAAAATTTTATAACTTGCAAACAGCATAGATGAATTCAAGGGATTATCATAATGCACCTAAATTTTTTTGACATTTTAAAAACTAAATCAACAAACATGAAATCAAGAAATTAACAACCACCTTTAAAGAATTTAAATTTTCTAATTAACACCCTCAATATCTCAAAAATTATAGAAACACCCTCAAAAGTTTAAATTATGAAAAACGACTCTAAAATTCTAAAATTTTAAAATTTGCAAATAACAAAAGATGAATTCAAGAGATTATCCTAATGAACCTAAAAATTTTAAATTTGCTGAAATTAACCTAAAAGTTACAAAAATTATAGAAAAAACTCCTTCAAAATTTTAAATTCACAAAAAAACTCTAAATTTTCAAAATTTATAACCAGTACACATCTAATCTGGAAACTATTGGTAGGGCGCTGAAATTTAAAATTTTCAAAAATTAATATACAGTTTTAATAATTACAAAAAACACCCTCAAAATTTTAGAGTTGCAAGAAATATCCTAAAATTTTAAAATTTAAAAGTAAGTTTTTACAAAAACACTCCCTCAAAGTTTAAAACCACAAAAAAGGGCTAAAATTTTAAAACTTGGTAAAGAAAAGCATAATTGTGAGGTATTTTTTTCATTGAGATACATATATTTAATTTCTAATTTAGGGTTTATCATCCCTTTTCAGCATCTAAAAATAGTCTAAGTTGATATTGGTAAACAAAAGCAATAATAATTGATTAAAAATATCTGGTTAAGGAATAAAATTTTAAAAAATATTATGGTTCTTGAATATATGCATACATTTAATCAGGCGTATACTCAATTATATAATATATATTTTAGTTTAAAACACCCCTCATACACCTTTTGGACATATATCCTACACTTCGCATCTATTTCTTAAATATTGATCTTATGTAAATGGAAAATAAATGTTGATCTTATTAAATTATTAGTTTTAATATATATAAATTTACATAAAACACAAGATGTTTTATACGTGCAATGCACGAGGTTAAATATCATGATTAGATATTTTTTGCTTATTTTCTAACTAAAATTTTTTCATCGGTTCTACTTTAATAGTTTGTGCTCACTTTTGTCTTTAAACTTTAACATTGCGATTATTTATTTTCTTTGATCTTTGTTTAAATGGGCTACACCCAGTCTAAATTTTTATTTTGATATTTAAATTGATAGAAAATAAATATAATTTGAAGTTAATTTAAAGTTTCATATTATTTTGACTTAGTTTACTTGAGAAAGTATAGTATTGCAAAAGTAAAAAAAAATTAAAATAGTGCTATACAAGGAAGGTGAATATTTAAAACCAATAAGACAAATGATTGATTAAAAGTATGCTAAAACAGTACAAAAGAGAATATGAAGTTTGATCCTAATTATTGATAGACTTCATAAAAAATTATAAATTAAATATTAATACTAACTCTAATATACTTTTATATGATAAAAACATCCACATAAGCATATAAAAGTACTGAAAAAACTCATGAAACTCCTTTCTAAAGATTTCTAATTTCACTCAAAATAATTAAACTATTCTATAAAATATTTAGAAAGTATTATATTTTATTGCTTCTGTTTTATTTTTTATTGTGCAAAGATCAATCCTTCTTCACCTTTATTATTTTCCCGGACAATTCTAGAGTAGTGTCTTCATCATCTACATCGATTGTGACATCATGCTAGAGGTGTATTTTTGTGATGTTATCTTTCCTAGCCTCGTTAATCTTTTATCTTGTCATTTAACTTCACAAAGAAGTTAAATGTATTTCCAATGTTTAAAGTAACTGCATATAATTTTACTAATAAGTTGGAGCAGCAAAATACAATTAGTAACATTAATTGATAGATTTTTAAATCTATAAAAATGATAAAAGATTATAATATAATAGCTTAGCATTAATTATTTATAATTTAAAAACATTAATCTTTGATGTTAATAATATTTATAGGATAAAAGAATACAATGAATTGCATATGAAGAAGCTATCAGAATGTACAGAAATATCCTTCAAAAGAATTAAGCTATTTCCATTACAAATGAGAAAGTGACCAAAATAAATCTAAAATTCAAAAAACATTCATGAATCATTTGAATTGATATTAACATAAGGCATATATATTAAAAAGGCACCAACTGAGTTACACTGAAGAATAATTTAATAACTTTGTCCTTATCAAAGAAGAATTCTTCATGGAAGATATAAGAAAAATTAGTAAATATTCATAAATTTCATACTTTGCTCTACAAATACTAAAAAATTAAATATTAATATTATAATCTAATGCAAATTGGCAATAAAAAATGCAGATATTTAGTTTAGATCTTTATAAAAATGATAGGGATAGAGCAAATATAATATTATTCACGTAACAGAAACTCTTATTGGATGCACATCAGAAGAATTCATTGTAAAAAAAGAGGTAACTCCTAATCTTATTTAACTAATAAATACACAAAGAATTTCATATATATGAAATTAATATTTATTCTCATTGAAATTAAAAAAAGGTCAAAGTCTGTATTTCAAGAAGTTTGTGTTAAACATCGAAAATACATTTAACTTTTTTGTGAAGTTAAATGACAAGATAAAAGATTAACGAGCCTAGAAAAGATAACAGTATAAAAAATATAACTCTAGCATGATGTCACAATCGATGTAGATGATGAAGACACTACTCTAGAATTGCCAAGGAAAAAGATAAAGGTGAGGAATGATTGATCTTTGCTCAATAAAAAATAAAACAAAAGGAATAAAAGATAATACTTTTTGAATATTTTATAGAATAGTTTAATTATTTTGAGTGAATTTAGAAATCTTTAGAAGGGAGTTTCATGAGCTTTTTTCAGTACTTTTATATGCTTATACGGATGTTTTAATCATATAAAAGTATACTAGAGTTAGTATTAATCTTATAATTTTTATAAAGTCTATCAATAATTAGGATCAAACTTCATATTCTCTTTTGTATTGTTTTAGCATACTTTTAATCAATCATTTTGTCTTATTGATTTTAAATATTCACTTTCCTTGTATAACACTATTTTAATATTTTTCACTTTTGCAACACTATACTTTCTCAAGTAAAATAAGTTAAAATAATATGAAACTTCAAATTAACTTCAAATTATATTTGTTTTCTGTCAATTTAAATATCAAAATGAAAATTTAGATTGGGTGTAGCCAATTTAAACGAAGATGAAAGAAAATAATTAATCGCTATGTTAAAGTTTAGAGACAAAAACTATTAAAGTGGAACTGAGGAACAAAGTTTAGTTAGAAAAAAGGCGAAAAATATGTAATCATGGTATTTAACCACGTGCATTTGCACGTGTATAAAACTTTGTGTGTGTGTATATTTATACGTTATGTATATTTATATATATTAAAATTAATAATTTAAACAAGATCAATATTGTTTTTCCATTTACATAAGATCAATATTTAATAAATAGATGCGAAGGGTAGGATATATGTCCAAAAAGTGTATGAGGGGTGTTTTAAATTAAAATATATATTTTATAATTGAGTATACGCCTGAATAAATGTATGCATATATTCAAGAACCATCCAAGAAGTTTTGTTATGGGTATGGGTATGGGTATGTTAAGGTATGGCTTCCGGTAGAAGTACGCAGGTTACATAAGTTTTCTTTTTTCTTCACTTACTCGTTCAAGTTGGGTGGAATTTGGTGATGCTTATATTTTTTATCATTTTGGTTCACTCTTGGGACGAATCAAGTCCAATGTGGGTTGGCCAGTCAATATATGAAGACGGAAAATGCATAAAAGATGAGAATTTATGTAATAAAAGTCAGCATGATATTGCCATTTCAAATTGGAAATCGACAACTAGGCGATTAGAAAGTAAGTGAGGGTTCTTAAGTTATTCGATGATATTGATTTTCCAGTTTCTTCTATTGATCTTTCATACATGAGTTAGGTGGAATTTGGTGATGCTTTTCTTTTTTTAATAATTTTGATTCTTCTTCCTGTTCAGGTGCTGGAAGTAGACTGAATTTTTTTCCAAATTATCCATTCTTGGCATTGCTGCATGAGGACAAATGATAAGAAAGAACAATTTAGGTGAGGCCTAACATAATGTGCATCAACTTTGCATATGATTATGATAGCCCACATTTGTAACATGTGGTTTATTTCTTAGTTTAAGATTTACTAATGTTTCTTGAATGTCTTGGTTATAGGACTAGCGACCTTGATCATACTGAAACATTCTTTCATGAGGGTGATGTTTACCTTTTAGCAAATGGTGCTGAAAGATTGAGAATTTTTAAGTAAAACTTTGCTTTTACTTTGAGCCCTTGACAATAATGTGATCGTGCGGCAAGAAAATTAATCAGCACCAACCTGACTTTTTGGTTCGTTTATCTTTGTTCTAGAATAAGTCAAGTTGGTTCTGTATGTAGATGTTTGAGAACTAATCAGTTTGAATCAGTTCCAAGGTTAAATTCATTGATATAAATATGAAAAGGCTTGACGTTCATGGTAATTTTATCATAATTAGTCATTTTTAATCATGAACCTATAGAAAATATCCTTCGCATGCTGTCTATCTATTTCAACTTCAGCTAGAATTATAGAAGAGTAGTTATGTTGTGCAAAGCTTTACTTATAATAAGTTGGTCAGCTGTAGGATTAGATTTATTACATAAGGTGACAAGTTCCTCTAAATTGGATCTGAATTTTTTCCCTTAATTTTTTCATTGTTCTAATTTATAAGAAATTTTTCCATTCACCATTCTTTATTAGATTTATACCAAGACATTTTGCCCTTGTGATGCATACACCTAAGAAAAATACTTCATTTTGATAGTTAGCATTAAATTTATCACGCTAGCTCTGTCATTATAGTCTCGGTTTGTCTTAGTTGCTTCTATGTTTGAATAGCATATTAACCACTGTTCACATTTAGAATCTTGTTCTTCTTCATTTTTTCTTTTCTTGTACTTTTAAGGGACTTCAGAGAGTTGTGTTTATTTATAACCGTTTTCTATATGGACTTTGTTGTGCTCAGTTTGTCAATGGTGGCTGTCCTTTTAATCATTCACAGGTGCATGCACCTTACAGGCTTTTTTTCTTTTTGGATATCTTCAGCAGATTTCATAGATTGTTTGCTAAAGAAAAGTTTGATGCTGATATATAAATACTATAAACATTAATATTTCATGGATCAAAGAAAAGATCGAAGAAGTATGGTAGAAGCTGCGAATGCAGTTAGAAGTTTCGGTAACTTGTGACATTGTTGAAAAAATGGCGAAATGTTCTTCCAAATGGCATATAGTGGAAGAATAAATTTCCAGTGCAAGTTTTAAATGCATATTACTTTTTATTTAAAATAAGAAAATGGTGCAGATTGGTTAATTGTTTGACTCAGGAAAACCAATGGCACAGGCCGTAATTTTTTAAAAAAAGAAAACAGGGTGAGGTCCCCTATTCATTCATTAACTGTTAAAACTAGATACATAAAGGAGTTGAAGGCAGTTGGAGATAACACATGGCAGAAGTAATAAATCTTGGAATCCACCAAAGGGCGTTCTTTGAATCCACAAAGAACAATCTCCGAATCCATGAAGAAAATATGATAAGAGAAATTTTATTGATAAAAAGTGATCTTATCCTTTGGGGTTACATGAATCTTTTTAAATAGAAAAATAAAATAGACTCCTAATAAGACTAGAATTACAAAGAAATAGGAAGTATCAAGTCGTACTCTAAAAAGACTGCCTATAATAAAGATGAATTGAGCGTCTCGTTGTCTACCACTAGAGAAAACTTCTCCTTAGCAATCTTTGTCTTAAATGCCGCTGGTACTATGATTGACATAATTGATGAAGGCTTTATTGTTGCTTCTGCACTACTCTTCACAATTCCAGACTCTTCCTCAGAGATGAATTGAGGTTTCTTAGCTTTGTCATAATCATAACTGTTGGCCTTTTTGTTTTGATAATATTTAACAAACAATTTACTACTAATGTTGTTTGTTTAGTGTTTGTGTTTTTATATTTATTGTAGACAAACAACATGTTGGAGGTTGGATGGAATTGCGCCATTACGATCATATCAATGGAGGTTGACGGAATATCGGTATGAAGCAATGCAAATCAAGTTAAAGATTTAGGTTCAAGCTTCATCCGCATGTTTACCAAGAAGAGCTTATTGAAGATCATGATCATTGTTTGGTAAATTAGTTTAGGTTTTATATTATGTGTGTTGATACTTTAAGCTCAATCATATACACACATACACGTTTTGGTTTTGCATATATATAATTACATATATACATATATGTTTTGGTTTAGCTATATAGATATGAAACAATATATTTCTTCATATACACTTTTATATGTTTTATATTCTATTGTATTTGGAAAAATATTATATTTTTGGTTTATAGACTTAACAACTATAGTTTATACTTTTTATCAAGTCTATATAATCATTTTGTAAAGTTTCAAATTTTGGTTTATGTCAAAACATCAAATTTCAAGCATATAAAGTTTTTATGTTTTGGACATTTTTACAAAATGAAGAGATTTCTCATTTGGGACGTGCAAATTAAAAAATTCTTTTTGTAACATGTTCATTATCATGTTTACAATCATTTCCCAAAGTTTTACATTTATTTGTTATTTTTAAAAGGAGTTTAAAAATCAGTTTTACTATTCAAAACAGGCTGATAAAGTGTTATCAGTCAACTGATACATGTGTTCAGTCGACTGAAGAAAACGTCTGGAATAGTTAAAAATTCATGTTTCTATGTTGGTCTACTGACTAGTTGACTGATGATGTCATCAGTCGACTAATAAGGTCGTCAGTCGACTGATGAGCTGGAAAATACCTACAACGGTCAGCTCATCAGTCGACTGATTAAACCCGTCAGTCGACTGATGCTGTAACGACTAGTTTTTTGTTTTCGTTATTTTTGTCTTTTTGCTGGGTGTCACTTGAGTTTTGGGCTTTGTTTCTTCATCCTATATATACCACATACTATTTCACTTCCGACCATAAGTAAGAAGTTTTTAAAACAAGTTTACAAGAGTTTAAGTTTGTTTTAAGTTTTTGTTTCAAGCTTCGATTTGTGAAGAAAGTTTCACAAGAGCAAGAAGAGATCATCCATTCCTTGTTTAGGATTTAACTTCATCTCTCCTACTCGTCATTTTAGAGAAGTTTTTCTAAACTCAATTTCTAGTTTTATATTTACATTGTTTATTGATTATCATCTCTATAAGTTAGATTTTCATAATTGAGTTTAGTTTGTTTTGATTATACTCTTTGTTCACACACAACCTATTGAGCTTATTGTATTTGCATACATAGTATAATTTGGGGTTGTGGGTTTGTGACTTAGAGAGTGAAGGTGAGCCTACATTGTGCTCTCATCCATTGTAGAGAACAATTTATTTGTATTGAGAGCTTAATTGTGAGGATTCACTTTGTATTGCACAAATACACCGAGAGGAGTGTAGAGGTAAGAGACGTGGTGGGTCCCAAGAGGAGTGGGGTCGATGGTAATGCCTAGAGGGTAGGTCGTAATTCCGAGCACTTGAGAGAGACACGTGAGAGGCCAACACTTAAGGTGGGATTTGTGTAGTTACATTGTGAGATTGTGAATGTTGACCGGTGAGCGTTGAAAACCGATATTGTGTGGTGTAAACGTTATTCGGGTGAGCGTCGAAAACCCGGTTGTGATAGTGGATTTCTCCCCTGGAGTGGGGAACGGAGACGTAGGACGAAAGGTCCGAACTCCATGATCATTTGCTTGTGTTTGCATTGTTTCATTTGCCCACTATCTTGTTTGTTGTGTTTATATTTATATTGCCCCTGTTTAGTTTCATATCCTTGCTCATATTTTATTGAATATCATTCTTTCTAGGATATATTGTTAATAAGTTTTTAATTGGCATTAATATCGGATTAGATTAGCATAAACCCTATTCACTCCCCCCCCCTAAGGTGTTTTCAATTGGTATCAGAGCTTGGTGCTCTTTGATTTAAGGTTTAATCGCCTTGGGTTAAAGATCCAAGTTATCTTTTTGTGCTAATCTAATTTTAAGATTTTTTGTATCTTGCTTGCACATTTTATAATTATGGATATGAATGGTGCAACTTGTTTAGGCTATGATCCTAGTATTGCTCCTAAATTCAATGTTTTTCCCTATGACCAATGGTGTTCTAGATTTAATATATTTGTTAGATCTAAACATTTCGATTTATAATGTTTTTCCCTATGACCAATGGTGTTCTAGATTTAATATATTTGTTAGATCTAAACATTTCGATTTATAGGAAGTTATTGAAAAATCTTATATTGTACCCACTTCAAAAAAATCCAAGTGGAGTAAAAATGATAAAAGAATGTTTACTATGAATAAGCTCTTGTTAGAATTTTTATTAAATGCATTTGACTCATATATGTCTAACAAGCTTGATTCTTTTAATAGCGCTTATACATTGTGGAAAATCTTAGAAGCGCATCAAGGGAACTTGGAGGCGATCTGACAAGCTTTGGCGGCTTCTTCTTCAAGTTCTAGTGGAGCATCATACACACATCCACTAGGGGATAACCCTAGTGTGGTAAGAGATTCTGATTCCGATGATGAATTATCTATTAGTGAACTCGCTTGTGCATATGATAGATTAGCGCATGCCTACAAGAAGTTGCATAATAATTTTATTGATTTAAAAAGCAAGCATGTAGAATTGAAATCCGGTCATGAGAAGCTAGTGTCCAAATTTGATATCAATGAAAAGGAAAATATAATGCTTAAAGAAAACAATGATATATTAAATTTGAAAAATAAAAAACTAACCTCATCCATTTCTAGCTTAACTCATACTAATGATGATGTCATGCTAGAAGTAGAATGCATTAGAAATAAATTTGATTATTTTAAGAATAATCATACATGCTCTACTTCTATTATCAATGATGTTGTGCCTAATGATGATGAGTTGAATCATGTTAAGAACCGCATATCTTGTTTAGATTCAACCTTAAAAATATGCATTGATAATCATAAGAAGCTTGTGGATATGTGTGTCAAGTCTAAGTCAAAATCATCCACTCATTATGCACACATATATATAGCAAAGTTTACAAGTATTCAATTTACAGCCGAAAAGGTCATTTAGCTAAATTTTGCTATGATGCACACAAACCTAAAAATGCTAATGCTCCTTGTGCTTCTCATGACGCTTCATCATCTTGTACACTTACACATTCACATGCTCGTACTCACAAAGTTAATCACAAGCATGCTAATGTGTTTAATGTGATTTTTATGGTCGTTTTGATCATTTGACCAATTTGTGTTTTGATTTAAAGAGAATTTCACATTTGCAAAATAATTTTAAAAGACCATCCATGTTTGCAAATGTTGCAAATGTTTCCCGTGCACACTCACACTCATATGATCCACAAAAACAAATGGGTCTCTTTCATTGCACATATTACAATCGGAATGGTCATTTGAGTAATTATTATTATGA